ACAATACTTGTATGAGGTGAATTGAAAAATACTATTTCCTTTGTTTTTCATTTTTACAGTGCAAATATTTGTAATAAAAAATAATATAAAGTGAGCACTGTACACTTTGCAATCTGTCTTGTAATAGAAATCAGTATATTTGAAAATGTAGAAAAACATCCAAAAATATTCATTTCAATTGGTATTCTATTGTTTAACAGTGTGATTAATTGCGATTAATTTTATTAATCGCGATTAATTTTTTTTAGTTAATAGCGTGAGTTAACTACAACTAATCGACAGCCCTACATGCAATTCTATAGGTATACTCCTTTCCACTTCTAGGACTGCCCTCTCCGCTGGGGCTTGCAAATGAGGGGTACATTGGCTATATGCTGCTCCTGCGTAAGGGGAATTCTCCTTGGCTCCTGGTGGCTCTTATGTGGTTCCATATGCTGTTGCAACTGCATACAGGGATAGCAGGGGCCAGAAGTGGCCCTATTCTTATTTTATTACAAAATACATGTTCAGTGTTGCTATATTGAATGTATTGATTTTGCAGTAAGTCTGTTGTTTGATCTATGCGCAGTGTTATAGATTTGCTTCACTAATTTTTCTTCCCCCACTACTCCTTGCCTTTTGTAGATGCATGAATACTGAAAACAAACAACCTAATTATAGTAATTTAACTGTAGGGAGGTACTTCATCACCACCAAATGGAAGTTTAAGGTGTATCCCTAACTTTAATTTAAACCAACATTGACTGCAGCCCTGTGTTGCATTTTCTTTGCTTGGTTGTGAATCCAAAACCTCTAGCTTTTTCTCTTGGTATTTCTTTCTCTCTCTCTTCTTTAGAGCACAGGAACTGCCATTCTGGATCTCATCAAGAGTTCATCTCGCCAGTATTCTGTTACAGACAGTGTCCAGCACCAGATGTTTCAGAGGAAGGTGCAAGAAACCCTTCAATAGGCATTTATGGGGGGATAACTTGCCCTGAGATTCTCCTTTTAACCCCCCAATAATTAGAGATTTGCTTGTGCCCTAAAGTATGTTTATTTTCCTTCCCAAACTATTGTTTATTCTTTTAATATTTGCTATAACAACTCTGAATATTCTTATTAACCATATACAGGTTGACTTCTTTTTTTTAATCCTAGGGTCTTCGCCACAGTAATGAAATGTGCTACAGCGTTCCACAGGCTAATTGTGTTGTGTGAAGAGTAATTTCCCATCATCAGTTTTGAATTTGCCACCTTTCAATTTCATTCAATAGCTCTCTGTTTTTGTGTTATAAGAGTGAATAGAAGTTCCCAGTCTACCTTCTCAAGAGCATTTATCATGGCCTCCCATTCATCTCCTGAGAGAGCCTTATTCTTTTCAATCATGAGCATTTCCATACCTCTAATAATTTGCATTGTCCATCTCTGAACCCCTTCTTATGCTGCATCATTTGTAGTTGGGATGCCTTGAACTGAACACAGCAATCTAGGTGAAAGCATATAATTGACTTATATAATGATATTTCATATTTATCATTTTTCTAAAAAATTTCCTCAGACATCCTAATATTTTGTTTGTTTTGGCTGCTGCTGCACATTGAGCGGATATGTTCACACTGAGGCTCAAATGTTTCCCCCGAATTAATAGTTAATTTAGATCCTAGTAAGCTGTACAAGTAGTTCAGATTATTTCCTCCACCGTGCATTACTTTGCATTTGTCAGCTTTGCATTTTAGCTGGCATCATGTTGTCTATTTACCTTGTGTGGATAAGTCCATCTGAAGTTCCTCAGTCTTCTCCAGTGTTGACCACTCAAGTAATTTTGTGTCATCTGCAGATTTTGCTACTTCATTGCTTTACCCCCTTTTCCAGATAATTAATAAATATATTATACAACACAGGTCCTAGTACAGAATCCCCAGGACACCCCATTGTTATCTTTTGCCATGATGAAAATTGACTATATTCTAAATTCCCAGTGCCTGATGTTCCCAGTGAGGGTTTAGCTGCTGGTCCATAAGGGGGTTTAAGTAGGCTTCCATTCAAGGCACTCTTCAAATATTTCAGTAGGTGGATTCAGAGCTGCTGTACTTACCACTGTGCCAGGTCCAAAGGAGGAAGCAAGTGCAAGCCCCTTGAAGGCACAAACCAGCAGTATGACTGAAAAAGAACCTATGAACTCCAATAACATTTTCCATACAGGACACCGTAACTCGCCTGATACCTAGCAGTGCACCTTCTAGGGACCACATTCATCCCTGTGCTGACATGGGAACAGAGGGGATGAGGCTTGCAGCTCTCCTATTCAAGGACTGTGGGAGTGTGTCGGGCCCCAGTGCAGGCTACGTCTAACTTGTGCCCCTACTGCAATGGTCACTATGGACTACTGTAGAGATACAGATTCTGCCCTGGCCATGCTCCTTCCTTACCTCTTCCCTGGAACAATTTGTGCCCTGAACTTCGTGGAGGTGGAACAGAACTGGTGGACACAGCTCTGAAACGAGTGCAGGGACCCATGCACCAGTAGGTATTCCCCAGAGGAGTTTTGCCTAAAACACAACCCTTTTGCTACAGCCTCACTGGTACAAAGGGGTCAGAGGGCCAATGAGGAATCTGGCCCCAGATGTCCAAATCTTAACATTTTTGGTTTTCTGTGAAAAAGCCATAGGATCCATATGCTTTCTTTATCTCACTGATTATAGCAAAAGCGTATGCTGGAGCTCCTCAGCTCTCCAAAGCAAAGGCTGAGCTTGTTAGTGTTGAGGCATCTAGACTATCAAACCATCCTTTTCATGCTTTCCCCTACTATATAATGTCACCCCCATAGCAAAGACAATATACAACTGTTGTTTTGTGGCTGGGAAGAGTTTCCTCTGTAACTCACGGCTAAGGCGTGAACACACTGCATGAAACACCCCATCCAAAAGATGGGAAATGGAACCTCTCATGCTGTTCTTCAACTTCTAATTTCTTACATACTAGGATAAGGGAATCCACAGTCCTTACTTTAGAGAGAGGATTTTGGACATTACCAGGCCTCCAGCTCACTTTCTCTTCAGAGGTTCTTTACTCTTACAGTGGACTGCAACTCGCTTAATTCTCCCTCTTTCATAATATCAATAAGGTGAGGCCCTTATTTTCTATGTGTACCTGGAAGATAAAAAACATCTATATTTACATTTGAACCTTTCAAAGGAGCCCCTCAGCAGCCTGGTACAGCATCCAGCTCAAGCTGATAGCCCAATCCTGCAAAGTGTTGATCATCTCATATGGTATCTGCATGCCTTCAATTGGGTACATAAGCAATCATGTAACATAGTAGGCATTTATGCATGGTGAAACATGATGCAGAAGACCAAGTGACTTAACCACCCTCTAAAGTTAAACACCAGGTCTTCTTTTCCTGTATATCCTGACTTCTTGAAGTATGTTATTGCTTGTATAGTAATGTCTCTGTGGCTGGTCGGCGTGGGCATAACCACACTTTCTTGGAACCCTTAGTGAACAGTACTCCATTTCTCTGACTCATTTTAAAACATTTTGTTTCCACTTCCCAGCAATATTTACAGAACTATTATTCTGTATACAGTATATGTTATTTATTCGGTGCCCATTTACTTTGGCCTGAGAGCAAGGAACAATGAATCAGGGCTTCTGGGTTCTACTCTGGTTCTGCCTTTGCTACATAATACTACATGCTACATAATACAAGTAATTTTACCTTTCTGTGCCTCAGTTTCCCTATATGTAAAATGGGAATAATGATACCAGTCTCATAGGTAGGGAGAACTGATTTCAATATACATCCTAGGGAAAAATACACAATGAAGTATACTACATACTAATGAAGAACAGTAAAAATCTATCTGAAACTAACTAAAATAATGAGATACAAATCTAAATCAATATAACTGTCTGCTGCCAAATGCCTTTTGAAGTAAAGTATTTATTCTGCACAAATACAACGCCCTTGTTATCTCTCCATGGTGGTTTTTTTTTTTTTTTTGGTTTTTTGTTTTGTTTTTTTGAGCTAAGGACTCTGAGAACAGGAGTAAATCTAGTCGCTAGACCGCGGCTCAACAAGTCTATAAGGGCCTGGCTGGCCTTTATTTAGTGACTATACTTTTAGTTAATACTATTATTTGTTCAGTACCTTATTGTCACATTCAGCATCAGTGAAAAATACCCTCTCCTCTAGGAACACCACCTTTCCACCTTTTAGTTAGTTTTCCTTCCTTATAGTCCCTTCATTCATATATCTCCTTTGGATTTCGTTTTCTCCAGTAACTCCTATCTCCTACTTCCTTATGGTCTTCACTCCCACCTGTTTTCCCCATTCTATCTGCTAATGAATTAGTAATTAAATGCATTATGTTGACACTCAAATGCCATCTCTCGGTTTTAAAGTTGACATTCCAATGAGATTAATGGGAGACAATCTATTTCACACTTCTGAGTAATTGTTTCAGGTTGTCCACAGGCTTGGCCAGACAGCATTACATCAGTTACACTCATTTGACAATTGGAAGGTCTTGCTCGTGACCATGAGGGCTAGAAACTTACTTAAACAAAAAAAAAAGATCAGGTTATGCACAATCTGATTATATTGTGCTGGCCACATAAACACAACTATCTGGCTGGATTTGGCTCATGGCTATATGCCTGACATCCCGGCACTAGGTGATTTGAATGTTAAAAAACGAAAACTGTCATCTTAATTCAAACAGCAGCAATCAGCCAGTTAGGGAGGCAGTTTGGAATCAGTTCCCTCTCCCCATGTAATGTTCCTGGATTTCCTTTCGTCTCCTCAGTAGTTTCCCACCCCCAAAATGCTGGGTTGTGTCTGGTTTCTTTGTTGTGAATTTTGATATCACCTGCAAGAAGAAGGTAGAGCAAGATAAACAGGATTAAAAATACACTATCCGTTTCTGTCTCTAGCATACACAGACCCTGCGAACACCAGGGGCAGCATCTGGACAACCTTCTCAGCAAGACCATAATGAATACACATTAACCCAATGTTTTAATATCAGGTATTAATCTTTAATTCCACATCACAGCAGTCGAGTGAATGGGGAAGGAAAAAAACCCAGCAGCTATTTACATCTAAAATTCACATCACTTATTTGTTGGTTCTGGAAACATGCTATCACAATATATACAATGAAATACCTTTAGGACACTTGTTCAAATTCTTTTTTTTTCTTTTATGTTTGCTTTCCATTATAGTTAAGAGAGCTTTTTTTGATTTTTTTTAAACATGAATACACAAAAGAGAAGTCGTTAGAGGTTTTTGCCTTTTTTAAATAAGCACAGAATGCCAGAGGTTAAAAACACATTTACAGGGCAGAGTACCAGTCAGACAGCACGATCTATACATTTTTTGCTCAATTTCCTGTACAAATACACAGCATTCAAATGGGATATATACAAAAAACACATGAAGAAAAAATTAAATATCACACTTTTTTCTCTGCTTCTGCTCTACAACCTTTCCAATTTGGCTGCCTCCTCTCCCCTGACAGATATGTAGTAACCCCTTCCCCACCCAAAGAGGGAAATAAAGGTTAAACAAACAAAAAAAAAAGAGGAAAAAATCCCGTGGTCTTGCACCTGGCAGCACAACCAAAACATTCTTCCAACCAATGAGCAACTAATTGGCAGATGAATGCAATTCTTCTCATTGCTTCGTCTCCATCGTTGCCTCTGCCCATTCCTTTTCCTCCAGACAGAGGGTGTAAACACCAATGGTGGAAAGTTTAATAGCCCATGCTTTCAGGAGAGAAGTGGTGGCCCAAGAACCCAAAAGAAGCATTTTCAATTTCAAACTTGGTACATGAGTATGGCATGACCATGTTCCTTGTAAATTATCTCTATTTACGATAGTTACACAGAGCACAGCAACAAACCCTGGTAGCCAAATTCAGCCCTAACTCAGAAAATGTAGTTGTGCCTGCTTACCCCAGGGCTGAATTTGGCTTTAAGTTTCATGCTGCTATTGGCCAAGCATACTTGCCCCAGAGAGTAGTATGAGTGTTACACTCACCAGATCTTAATTATAATAGAATCTCCCCCACCTCCTTCTCTTCCCACCCAGCACAACCCCCACTGCCCTTTGAAATTAGGCATTTAAAAAGAATACACAAAGTATTTTGCAAAAATTTGACCATGGTTCTGAATAACTCCTTGGAGACTCAAATCTAATATGTTTGTGTTAATTGAATTTGCTCCTTCATGAAACTTGGTGGCTATGAACCTGCTGTAAAATTGGCTGACATCTGTTTATATAAGCTAACTGATCATCTAACTTTTAGAAAAAGCCTTTACCAAAAAGTGAAATAAAATCAAAGCTGGGCGTCTCTATGCCAGACGCTGGCCTTCTAATCAGCGCAGCATGATATGCATTTGGAAATCCCTTAGAACTCTGGTTAGCAGTTAGCTCTAGTCAGTCACACTGGCTGGATGTTTAGACTAACTCGAATGTTAACTCCAATTTACACACAAAGCTTTATGCGCAGACACCTTATTTTTTGCTGGAAAGGAGAGCTTAATACATTTCCAGATACAATAATGTTTAACCCTTCTACCAAAAAAGGAAAACAAGCATCTTGTTCTAATAAAGTTTCATATGAAGATCCTGGGCCAGATTCTCAGATGGTGTATATCAGAATATTCCATTCATTTCAATGGAGCTACCCTGATTTACACCAGCTAAGACTCTGGCTCTTAAGAGCTTCACCATTTTTCATTTCTACTCAGATCTGCCTTGGCATTTATGCAAGAGATGAAATGCCCATTGTGGACCAGATTTTAACATCTGTGTTTCAATGGTGCAGGATACAATGATTTCGGGTGTCCTGCTCTAGCAAAAGTAAAGGAAACGGGATAGATCTTCTTCTAGCCAGGCAGGCCAATGAAGAAAACAGAACAATATTTCTTTTGCATGGGCTAGAACTTGAGAAAGAATAAATGAATAATCTCAACACCCGCCTCTATACAATGGCCACCTGAGTCCAAACTTGATACAGATTATCATTTTCAGGAGAATTTGGAAATGGTATATTTGTCCCGTCACGTTGTATAGTGGTAGTGCTAAAGTGGCTTGCAAAGGGAAACGTTTCCTTTTTTGCTTCTTTATAATGTTTTTGATATATAGGAAACAGCATGGATGGGGCACAGAATTGGAGTCTGGCTACCTTGGTTCTGTTCCCATTTCTGCCACTAATTTGTGTAGTATTGGGCAAATCCCTTAACTTCTCTGTGCTTCAGTTTTTCCAACTGTAAAGAGGAAGGGCATTGTTACTTATGCTCCTCCTCTGGAATGTGCTTTGCAGTCTACAGATGAAAAATGCTGTACAAGTACTCCGGATTATTATAAAATTATAAAGAAGGGCTGAAATAAGGGGTTTTATTTTTTGCTTATTTATCTTATAAATATCATGAATATAAAATACTTGATATTTTCTTCCCTATTTTTGCTGGAAGATTTCTCAAAGGACTTGAAAAATGGGAAATTTCTCAGCTCTCAAATAAAATGGCAATTTTAGTGGATCTTTCACCAACAAAGTTTTTCTCCCGTTTGTCAGGTACTAAGCAGGTATTAAACAAAGAAAACAAAAAACCCTAGAACTTAGAACAGCCTGACTAAAATTCCCTTCCCCACTCCACTGCTCTGGTCTCAATCTCTTGCTTTGTGTCACATCATAATTGCACTAAATTCTACAGTTCTTCATAGAGTCTGCCAGCAAAAAAGGGAAGTCAAGAATGGATATTTGTGCAATGTAAAAAACAAAGAGGAAAAAAACCCTTAAAATAAAAGAAGAAGAACTTTTCAAGTCTTCTTTACACACCATAAAGAAGCAAAAAAGGGAATAAACATCTCCCCCCTTCCCTCTTACAGTTAATCTTTAAAATCCCTGAAGCTGGAGTGCACACTACACACTGGACATTTCTTGCAGCTCATAGGGTTTCCTATCTGAAGGGAGAGATGGAGGCATTGTGCAGCAGCAGCAGTGAAATGTATCAGAAGGGCACATAAGATATTAGAGTAACAAACACAGTTAATGGATGTTGGTGTGGATTGTGCAGACTTTCAATCCTGAGGCAAGGACTGGATATGATGTATTCAAGCCTTCTCTTCTTACTTGCTGAGTTATCAAGCAGTTGTTGCATGAGCCTCTCAGCTGGTTCCTTGACTGGAATAAAAGTGCTGGTGACAACCACTTGCCCAGAGCTAAGCATGAGAAAAGGCTCAGAATTGGGTTGCAGCCCTAAAGGCTACATAACCCTCTCTTACCCTGCAGTAAAGGTGGATATGGACTATGACTCCAGTGGAAAAGCAGCTGGCTTACCCAGTAAAAAAATGAAATTAAGGAACAAAAACATGAAAAACCAAAGTACATGTCCATGAACAACCAAAGGAGGCAGAGTTTGTTTGAAATGATACCTCAAAAATCAATATGGAAGCCTGTCAGCACTGGTTAGATCATTTCATCACAACTGAGTCAATGAAGGAGATTACTGTAAAGCTGTTTATGGTCATAAACCTGGAAGACCCAGTTTCTTCATAGAACAGCCGAGTTTCCATTGCCTGCAGAGAATGCACCTTCCAGCCTGACAGTTCATGAAATCCCTGAATTCAGCAATGAGCTTTCACTTCTATGCAGCAAAGAAACATGTCCCTAGTGCAACTGCTTCTACTTGTGTGCATCTCAAAACTGGGAGGAAAGCTTTTTAAAACAATTTGCCACATCCCCCCTTCAATATTCCAATTCTTTTCAATTTCTGCAAGTCTCTATGGCTAACAGCTTACATGCCACTTTGTGTGGTCTGATAAACTGCAGAAGGAATAAAGCACCCACTGCACACAAAAAATAATAATTAAAAATAACATAAAACCAAAAAGTATAAAATACAATAAAAAGGAAAGCAGCAACCTCACATGCCAGCCCAAACTTTGTATGGGCTCCGGACATTAACTCATGGCAGTAGAAAGTAAAGAATTGGATTACTGTTCTCTCCTCTGAGTCCTAAACTTTTACATCTTTCTTCTGGTCAGACCTGGAATTACTATACAAGCTTCTTTCCAGGTAGTCCTGCTTACTGCTCACTGATGCCATGCTCCCATGCTACCCTGGCCTGCTCCTCCTTTCCACCACTCGCTGGTTGGGAGACTTTGCGATGGAGTGGCCGGTGTTTGTCTTCCTCTTCCATCATCAGCATCATTTCCTCTTCATTCTCCATGTTTGGGAGCCGAGCATGATATGGTTTTGGGGGGAGAGCTGGAGGGTCCATAGTGTCCTGAGGAATGACTCCAGATGGAGCAGAGTGGCTTCGACATGGCTGGGACTTGAGTGACTCCAGAACATCAGGTTCAGAGAGACTGTACCTGACAGGGAGGTAGGGTGTCTCTAAGTCTTCATCAGTATTCCAGGCCTGGCTAGGGACAGAATCCATGGTGTCTGTGCGAGGAGGGGGCTCAGATGAGTGTCCAAAGTTACTCTCACTTAAGGAGGACACACCACTGCTAGCACTGCCTGACAGAGTGGAGTTACTTCCATCCAGGCCAGACTGGGGACTTGTGGGTGATGCAGGAATTGGATGAAGAGGAGACTGTTTAAAGAAAAACACATGTTAACATCCGTGATTGGGCAATTGTGAACCTCAGTGGCCTTGTTTCATTGTTTACAGCTCATTAGTTACCGCCTAATTGCTTTTGTATTTAAGAAAATAAGAAATCTGAGCCATTTGTACACCCACAACCTGATTTCCATGTACAAATACCTGTTTGTACAGGCAAATGTGTTTTTCCTGTATGCATGATCAAACAGTAAAAAACTAGCAGTCATGGTGGTGACACCCTCTTCTCCAATCCTATTTAACATGTCCTACATCCCAGCATCTTCCATTCACCACACCTGCCTTGCTAGGATCTCCTACATTCCGTAAATATCGGAGTATTTATGTAAAATCTTGCAACACAAATATTACAATAAAAACATTAATAATGTGTTATAAGTTTTTACACATTGATTTATTTTTTCAGTAGTTTTGCTATTTAGAAGTTAGTAATTGCTATTTATTAAAACTGTTTCAGTAGCTATTTCCATTCCTTAGTTCAAGAGTACATATTAACTAGCTTCCTTTTGTCTTTTTATTTTAAAAGATTTAATGCCACACTGTGTATCCCTGCCCTGCCTAATGCATGCTGTCTCCCCCCAATTCCTGTAGCTCTCATTGTGGGCATCTCCACATTTATCTTATTTCTGTATTTTCCAATTTTCTCTTCTCTCTGTTCTTTTTTGCTCCTTTTCCCTCTCTCCTCTCTCTCTATTCTTTCTCTATTTTTCTGAGGTTATGTCTATATTCTTCCTGTTGTTTCTCTATTCTCCATGTCCAATCCTCTCCCAGTCCTGGAAACCAAACTGTCTGCAAGTGAGGTCCAATGGAGTCTGATGGGGAATCAATCAGTTTTGCAAGTGGATCTGTGGCTATCTAGCCCTGTCCCCAATCTTCTCTGAGCCTGTGAGGAAGTAGCTCCACCCAAGCAGGACCTTCCACAGCCATAAAGATTTTTGGTCTGTGACTTTATACTCTCATTTCTCTTTCCTTTCTCCCTCTGCTTCTTTTCCTTGTACTCTGTGCTGCTTTATTCCCCTCCTCTTCCCTTTACTGCTTCTCCTCCCAGCCTGCATGCTGCTCTGCTGCCTGGCTCCTCAGAGATGAAGTAAAAGTAAAAAGTTCTCTGAAGCTTAATAGCAGTAAATGTCAGAGAGTTTTGTTAATTTCACACTTGCAATCACCTGTTCTGCTCCTCTCTCTACTCCACTGCTGATGCACACTGAGCAGGGGGTAAGGAAAAAGAACAAAGGGGGAGCAATTTCTAAAGCACTCATCAAATCTTGTTAATTTCAGTTTACTGCTCTGCTGGAAGCAGCACACAGAGAGACAGAAGTTTTAGAAAGCATCAGTATACAGCCTACTGATGTATATTGGCCCAATTGACTCATTTGCCAGCACGTTCATGCAGGTGCACCTGTTGTGTCTATGTCTGAAAATCTGGCCCTAAAGGGAATAGCAATGAATGAACACTCTTAGCAATTTGTTTACTCTCTAATAAATAACACTCTCTTTAGCAGATTGATTCTAGAGATTTTATTATTTGATGAAAAGGACTGATTGGAGAGACAGCAGGCTAAGCATTAGTTTTACTGTTTTCATTCAAAACAATGAGTTCCAGATGAGGTCATAGATCCTTTGTTTTCTGTATGTATCAGGAAAGAGTAACTAACCCTTGCCTCTTGAGGCACAGAGTGGAAAGCATCTACTTTAAGAAGAGAAAAGAAGATCTGCCAAATCACTAACTGATGTTCTGTTCTGGAGGGCAATCTAAAGAGAGCTGACAACTAAACATTTTATCCCCCCATTCCTGTATCAATTTGAATCAAAAGGTATAGTAGGCCAAAAAGATAAAAATGCTGCTAGTCTGCCCTCAACCTCTCTCAAAAATCCCTATGTGAGGGGCATGAGAGTCCCAACTGTGATTAGAACTGGCTATTCAAAGGCTTGTGTTCTTGGATCGAAAACACATATATATAGTAAGAGGGTAAGCCTCCTATGGGCTAAAGAGAGCACAAACATATCTATGGGCTACTTGATTACTGGAACAGCAGCAAACTGTCCATTTAATGGAGATCTTGGTGTAGACAATCACCATGTCAGCCTTCAGTCTGAACTTCTGTTTCTTAGAAATAGATGATGTATTTTCTAGTGCTCAGACAATACAGGAATAAGGCAGGCTGGAGAAGGTATATGAGAGCTGGAGATTCTGGAATTGATCATAACTGCTAATGACCAGATTAGCTGGATGCTGTGTTCTGCAACCTTGAGAGGTCATTTTACCTTGCGCAATGTCCGAGCAGGCAGTGCTGGAGGAGCATCACTGAGCTGGTGGTGGAAGGCATCAAAGTGCAGTGAGTAGTGACCTGAAATGAGACAAGGAATAAAATAGTAATAAAGAATTGTAGCTGTGGGCTCACAGATCTGTACAACCTCAAGGCAGTAAGAATTCACTGTTCTAGTCCTCTGTAACATCAGGTAACCAGGTCCAACTGCTGACAGTCCCATCTCCAGTCCAGAGCTTACCAAATATCCTGGAAAGCAATCTTTGTAATGGGTAACCCAAAGTGTATCTGTTACAAAGTGCAAATGAGGAGTTCAGTAGCAACAACAGAATTCTACCCACCGCTGTTATCAAGGATTTCATGGCAAGGCAGCAGTCTCTTAAATGCTGAATGTCTGGAAACACAATTAATATCTTTGTAGCCTTAAGCTACTGCTGAGGATCGTCACTGACAAGAAGCCAAGACAGCCAAGACAGCTTACACTACTCATAAACCTAATTCTAGTCCCAAAACACACTTACGACCTTATTGCTGCAGCTGATGAAATTTTAAGTGTTATCTAATGTCAACCAAGCAGACCAAATAGCCTTCTCTCCCTGCACTCCTTACAAAAGGCTCATACAAGTCAATGTTGGCTTTCATGTGACCTAGGTTTATCTGTGCATGAGCACAGGACTTATCAGGTGGACCTCCTGGGGATTTCCTTACCATGGGGTAGGCTTCGGGGAGGTACTGGTGGGGCCAAGATGCTCCCAACGTGGGCAGACAGGAATGGCAGGGCCTCTCTGGTTCCGCTGTCTAGGCTCCAGCTGCTGGGCGCTGCTGGCACAGCTGAAGGATGGAAACAGATTGAACTTGGGTACATTACATTACAAGTTTTTCTTGGGGATGGAGGCAATGGCATTTCTCCATTCCTCAACTGAGTATGTGGATCTGGCTCCTTGCCATTTGATGTAGTACCTGACCATAAGGTGGACCTGAAGGCAGCAAGCACAAGAGAAGCTGTGCGCTCTTTGGCTGCAAGGATAGGCCAGACTCCAAGGCCAGGGTGAATTAGGGGGCTGCAATCTACAGAAAGGTGATTATTTTAAATGTAAGGGTAAAGAGAAGTAGACTACAAGCATAAGTGGCAGAAACCTCAGTAAACACAACAAAATCTGTTACTGCACCATAATGGCTAGGTGGAGGATGACTAAGCTGATCATATCTAAACATAATGCAATAAAAACATTACCTTTAATGGCATCATTTACTAGGCAAAGAGTTAATCACTAGCTATGATCACTATTTTTCAAAATGTGGTTATAAGGAATCAGAAAACCCTATTTCAGAATTACCATCAGAAGACCTGATTTTCTTTAGCCAAAGAAGACAAGAAAGCTTTCCTGTCTTCATAATCATATAATACATACTGGTTACGATCTCTAAACGCCTTCAGTTTTGCATGGAAAAGAACTCAGGCAGAGAAACCTAAAGTAATACACTCAGATCCGAGAAGCAATAGCTTTTTCCTTCTAGACTGAGTGACATTTGAAATGTCTGGAAAGATCTGAACTCTCATTATTAAAGAAAATACACCCTTTTTTCTTTCAGACACACTGCACCACTTTCTTGATGACAAGAAGCAGCCAATATACTAATCAATGTGCCAGAACAGCGACTTTATCTATTTACTGCTGTGTTGGTTATTCTAAAACTGTTTAATATCTGAAGGGGGAATCAAAATGATTTGGAGAGTCTAACAAAGACACTGAAACTAGTTTTGATTAAAAATATTAGCCCTTCCTTGCAGGCTCTGGGTGACAGAAAATACGGGTTCTAACAATAGATCTGACAGTAGAAGATGTGAATACATATGGGGTTACAAAAAGCTGATGATATACCAGTGAGTCCATCTCGTGGCTACTAATGCCAAGTAGCAAGTGGAAAATGCAACAGGGACCGTAATGCAATAGATGCCAATGGAATTATAGTTACTTTTTTTTTTCCTAATGGGACCTTATCCTCATTCCTCTGCATCTGTTTTGGGGACATAATTGGACGAAAGTAGTAGGTGCTAAGGGCCTCCACTGGCAAAAAATAATCAAAGAGACACTCAGCTAGCCTAGAATACTTTATAGGCCTTAAACTTAACTAAAGTTAATGGCGGCTGGGGGAGGGGGATGGGGTAGGAAGAGGAGATATGCCCAGGAAACAGCTTGTATCTTGGAGAGGGGAAGAAATGCCCTTCAGTCCCAGGAGTCACTGACCTGTGAATATTTCACTCTTAACATGACAGGGATTGTATATTTTCCATATTTCTGTACTTGGTGAGGGTTTTTTTAAAAGGGGTGAGGGTTCTACCTCCAAATCCATCAATGTCTAACCTTGGACTACACATGTATGTTCTGGAAGAAGGTTGGTGATCTTGGAGAAGTTTAAAAATTCCCTAATCTTTTCCCCAGTCCAGGAAAATGTTTTACTACTGTATCTCAGAGGACCATCCCATCAAAAGATATCCTCTATTCACATGAGTGTCAGCCCCAGGCACCTGGCCAAATTCCAATCTTCCTTCATGATTTCACCAGCCATTCAACTGCATGAGCAAATTTTACTTACCTTGTAAATCTGCTTCTCTGAACACATCATCTTGCAGGATTCTCACTCCTGAGTCTCAGCTCCCTAGTATAAACAGGCAAAACTTCCCAAGCTTTGAGGGGTTTTTTATGGTCCCTAAAGGTCTGTAGTAGTGGATAGGAATAAAGGTCACCCCACAACCAAGGCTGTGTGCCACAACTCTGTTTATATATTGCCGTTGGAGCTTTTTAATTAGTTCCTGATTCAGCAGGAAGCAAAGGCTTCCCAAGAGAAAAAAAAATGAGCCAATTATAAAATCAAAATGATTGCAAAATTAGACCCTCAAACATGAAAGATGTAAAGATAAACACACATTAAAAACATCAATCCAAAAGTGGAAGGGGTCGGGGGAAGAGACAGAGTGAGAATCCTAAAAGAGGGTGGACCAGCTCCAGGGATGCACCTGATCTGTACAGAGTGCAGGTCAGGGTAGTATATGCAAAGATGGCATCAAGTTCAGTTCTGCACTCACCTGATCCTGCTGGTTAGAATAGCCTGAGGATTGCTCTAGTTTATACCAGCTGCAAATAGCCCCTGTCAGGGTTCCCTCCCCACTCTGAACTCTAGGGTACAGATGTGGGGACCTGCATGAAAGACGCCCTAAGCTTATTTCTACCAGCTTAGGTTAAAAACTCCCCAGGCACAAATTCTCCCTCGTACCTTGGGTTTAAGTAACGCTGCCACCACCAAGTGATTTAACAAAGAACCAGGGAAAAGGACCACTTGGAGTTCCTCTTCCCCCAGCAATCCCCCCAAGCCCTTACACCTCCTTTCCTGGGGAGGCTTGAGAATAATATCCTAACCAATTGATTACAAAATGATCAAAGATCCAACCCCCTGGGTCTTGGAACAATGGAAAAATCAGTCAGGTTCTTAAAAGAAGGATTTTATTTAAAGGAAAGGTAAAAGAATCACCTGTGTAAAATCAGGATGGTAAATACTTTACAAGGTATTCAGATTCAAAACACAGTGGATTCTCCCCTGGGCAAAACCTTAAAGTTACAGAAAACAGGAACAAACCTCCCTCTTAGTACAGGGAAAATTCAAGTTACAGAAAACAGGAATAAACCTCCCTCTTAGCACAGGGAAAATTCACAAGCAAAACAAAAGATAAACTAATCCACCTTGCCTGGCTTACCTATATTGGTTGCAATATTGGAGACTTGGATTAGGATGGGTTGGAGAAGACGGATTTCCGTCTGGTCCCTCTCAGTCCCAAAACAGAACACACACACACACAAAAAGCACAAAAAAACCCTTCCCCCCGCAATATTTGAAAGTATCTTCTTTCTCCATTGGTCTTGTTGGTCAGGTGCTAACCTGGTTATCTGAGCTTCTTAACCCATTACAGGTAAGGAGGAATTCTAGGCTACCCTTAGCTGTATGTTTATGACAGCCCCAGTGGCCAAAAACACACCCAGGGATTGACGTAGTGCAGGGTCATCGCAGCTGTGTCCTTTTCTCTGCTACATTGGCATCAGGAAAAAGGAGTTGAATAAGAACCTCTGTGCTGGCTCTACACCACCAAGACCAGCCATAGGTATTTTACCAGTTTGGTGCTCTGTAGTATAGGGCAGTGGTTCTCAACCAGAGGTACACGTACCCCTTGGAATACTCAGAGGTCTTCCAGGGGGTACATCAACTCATCTAGATATTTGCCTAGCTTTACAACAGGTTATATAAAAAGTCAGTGCAAACTAAAATTTCATACAATGATTTGTTTATACTGCTCTGTATACTATACACTGAAATGTAAGTACAATATTTATATTCAAATTCATTTATTTTATAATTATATGGCAAAAATGAAAAAGTCAGCAATTTTTCTGTAATAGTGTGTTGACACTTGTATTTTTATGTTTGATTTTGTAAGCAAGTAGTTTTTAAGTGAGGTGAAACTTGGGGGTGCGCAAGACAAATCAGACTCTTGAAATGGATACCATAGTGCCACCATTAAAAATAATATGCAACAGTTGTATGCCACAAAATGGTTACCAAGCAACAATGTTCCTACTTGAGAGTACAGAGCAAAGGTCAAATGTTGAACCTACAAAACGTTTTACTGATCAACAGTAATCTTTCCCTGATGGGACTAAAATTGACATTCATACCAATGTTCTGTACTAGGATGATAACCACAAGCATTAAACTAGAGTTTATTTCTTTTCCTTTCCTTGAGGCACTTTTGTTAAAAGGGAGAAATCAATAGCACTGATCAGAGGGAATCTGAAAAACAGATGTAAATCTAGTCCACTAGCCCATTACACTACGTGGATCTGCTCCTCAGCCCGTATCAGTGTCTAGAACTACTGTACATGATCCTGTTGATGGATGGTTCAGAACCTGGTTTCTGCCTGTTGGAACCAACACTTTATCCAGCTATGCTCCAGGGAGGAAGCTACCATCGAAGCTACTATTGCCCTAGAGCAGCCAAACCATCTGGTGGAGCCGAGTGCACTTGGTGGTCAAGTGCAGCAGAAGGGAAGCTATAGCTGAACAGTTTTTCCCTTCAGCAGCTGGTGTCACTCTGCTGTCAGTGAGAATTAGTACAGAGGGCTTCTCACTGGAGACGGGCTTGGACAAGTTCACAGGACATGAACATTTACAAAAAACAAGTTGGTTAATGGCACTCTTGACTTACAGACAGTGGTAATGGTTCAAAAGGTTGCACATATGCCTGCAGCTGCATTTATTTACATTCACAACATGGCTCAGGAGCTGGGATTCCCTGATTATCCCCTACAGAGGATTATAAAACATTCCAAAAGAGACTAACCAGTCAACCACCTGACCTTGATATGTGCATGAGACATTTGTTTTTGCCAACAGGGATTCATGTTTGTAACTTAAAAAAACCACGACAACTTGATTTAACAAAATGTTCGTCTCTACTAATGACGGTGAAATGTCAAAAGCTACCTCACAGGGTAGTTTGGAGAATCTTTTGAAGAAAAAAAGCTCAATACACGTAAGTATTATCTTTGGGCCAACTCCTTCAGCCTTTACTCAGGCAAAACTCCCACTGAACTCTGTGGGAGTTTGTCTGTGTCAGGACTGCAGGATTTGGCCCATTGTCATTAACAAATGGTACAGAGCTTCTTTAGTGGAGGCACTTGTGCATCTCTTTGTAGATCTAAAGCATCAACTTAGCTGTCTTTAGGCTGGCAGAAGCTCTCAGCTTAGTGAAACTCTCAGCCTAAGAATGTGACAGGATGTACAGAGGTGGAAGTCCATAAGTGTACAAGCATGAACAGAGTAACAGTACTACAAGATGCAACAACATAATTAAGAAAAGGAATACCTTTCTCAGCGACAGATAGATTGGGATCACTGCAAGGTTTGCATGGTCCAACCACTTGCTGGATCAAGGCGCGCTGAAAATTTGGAGGCTAAAGAGGAGGGGAGACAGCATAGAAATGTGAAAACAGTTACAGATTTGCCAATACAGAACCCTGTGATAGCTGAAGAGCCCGAGACAAAAATCCATGGAAAGCTCTAGCCTCTGAGCTTTCACATGAATGTCCGTAGGCAAGGGGCAGATGGGAGACTGTTTGGAGGCACTGCATTATTAGAAACCATTTTAGCCATTTATTGGTTAAATGCCCCTGGAAATTTTAACTCTTAAAGCCTCATAGGGGTTGGGTTCTGGTTACTCCAAAAACCACTTCTTGACCTCCATGGCCCTGGTATATTCCATGGCAGCCAAGATCAGCTAATGCAACCAACCTCATTGCTCACGAGGTTTATTTCTGAAGGGATGGGTTGTTCTCTGTGAGGTGTATTAACTATGGAAGTTGCTTCCCCCATCATTTGAGAGATCCGATTTTTTGACCTTCATATCATGCTGCCAGTCTCAGCTGTGCTCCCAGCCCTTTCTGGATGGTTTTCATGAGATGCTGAATGATGGGATGATGGTAGTGTTTTGAAGGTATTTTTTGCTCTGAAGAGTTCTGGGTTTTGAATCATGAATTAATTAGTCTTTGATTCTGGGAGACTGGGTCCTATATTTCATTTATCAATTGTGGTGGCACTTTATAAAGTTGATTCATTTATTTCTATTGCTAAAATTGTGCCCATCCCATGCTCTAGGCTCCATGTACAAAGTCAAGTCATGTGATAGTTTATGATGGGTCAGCGTTTGCCGGTCAGGTTTAAAGTAAGAAGAGCCCATCCCCACAATGAGGCCTGCGTTGTGCAGGAGGTCAGACTAGATGATCAAAATGGTCCCTTCTGACCTAAATATCTATGAATCAATGAGGACCAACAATTGCAACATACTAGTATGATGCTGATTTTACTGTATCAAAAATAGTGGTTCTGAAAGGAGGAGAGAGAAGCATAGAAATCTCTGCACAATCTGATGAGCCACTCTGTAAATGTAGTTAAGTCAGTGGTTTCTGGATGCAGGGTAAGGTAAAAAGAGAAGAAGTGAAGATAATTACAAATGACAACAGTGGATCTATATGCTAATCACAAATACACAAATGCCACAGCTGCTGTACTAGGAAAGAATACTAAGTCTATTACCTGTCCATTTTCCATGATAGCTGCAGGATACATGGCACTGCTTGGTCGGTCCCGGTGGGTTGGCAGCAGCATCATCAGCTCCCGAGTGTGGCGGTACTTATCTGGTAGAGAGGGAGAGCCTGTAAACAAGTGAGAATAATCACGTACACATGACAAACCACAGAAAGATCTCAGCTTGGCCCAGTGATCTAGTCCTCCTTTTTTCCTGGGACTCATGAATTACCCCAACAATTTGGATGATGATCTTACAGGACTCCAGGAAGATATGGTGCTGAGCCCATTTAGGAGCCGACTGTAGATAGGTGCAGTAATAATCCACTTGTTGTATAGTTAAGATATGGACACATTGTTAGGTTTAGGATGTACAACTCAGCAAGTCACTAGCTGTACATTACAAGCCACTTACCCCTAAAATAAAAGTGTATCTGTCTGTGTGGAATCAGCAGTGGTTGTGATTTAATATGCCTTCTCTTCCCTGCCTAATAAGATATCAGAGGTATGCATTCAGATGCCATAAAACTGTGTACTTTTTGACTGAATAAGTATGAACGAGATACGAGGTTGGGATACAAATAAAACTGATGCTGGAATTTTCCTTGTGTGTGTCAGAGATGGTACATATGAATGGTGATTCCCGTGCTTGGCTTCCTCTTTATTAATATTAGCCAGATGAAAATGGAATGTTCTTTGACAGTGGTTTTCAACTCCTTTTCATTTGTGGATCCCTAAACATTTTTGAATGGAGGTGAGGTCCACTTGGAAATCTTAGATATAGTCTGCAGACCCTCAGGGGCCACAGACCAGAGGTTGAAAACCACCATTCTGTGAAATTTGAGGGCACTTTGTTTATCACTGTGCTTACGAAGCAGCATGCTGCTATTCTGAGAATACATCAACAGAGGTTTGCCAACATGCTGGTATATAGTATGAGGGTATTTGCTCATGTGATCCAGCAATTGTTTGTAATCTGGATAACTGCCAGGAGATACTACATTATGAGAGGGTCTATGTGTTTCATGTTAAATATTTATTGGAGCACAGCATTTTTTACCAAACTACTTTGTTTTTTTACATTAGGCACCATTAGGCAAGGAGCACACCGCACACCAATGGGCTTGCTGATGTATATAGCTACAATGGTTGTGCCACAAGAAAGATTTGCATTAATGGGATGGCTTGTGGGTGTCTGATAATAAAGATACACACACACACTCATGGATACACAATAATATGCAGAAGTTAACATTCTGAAGCTGCAGAAGTGAGCTATAACTTGTACTGATTATTTGTGCCACAAACACACACTTCACAGGCAGCACCACACAGCGCATTACCCAGCCATGCCTGCTTTTGGGAAAGACATGCCCCCTTTCCACAACCACATGTGCATTACCAGCACTCCAACGTACGAGCAGAGGCATTTTTTTTCTAGTTAATGCGGCTTTTACACCAACAACAGCATAACATGCACCTTTTTGGACTGATATACAGCACAGTGGAAGGAACAATGTGTCCAGCAGAGTGCAGAAGTCCTATACTTGCAGCAATTTCATCAGGGGGTATAAGGCCCAGATAAATCTAAACCCCAGCACTGCATAAGTAAATGCAAAATATTTGCAATCTAACTCCAATCACAATTTCTCCACAGACATAAAACAAATACATTTAGACATTCTTAGTTTTTATACACATTATCTTTAAAAAGACAGTTTTAAACACTATGCTGAGTCTCTTTTACTCACATACACATCACAGATAGTCCTATTTCTGCATGACAAATATAAAAATACTGAACTTATAGGGGTGCCAAGAACTGCATCACAGCACAAACCACATTGCAACTTTTTTCCCTTTTATTTATCATTTGATCCTCATTTTTCTTGTCATGTGAGCAAATTGCAGCTATATGTGCCATTAGTTTAGAAAGAATCACAAATCCCACAAGACCTTGCATTGTATGATCTCCAAAATCCCTTGCTCTATGCTGCTTTATGGTGGCAGAATCTAATTTTTAAAACCAGCCCTCCTTCTTGAGCCCTCAGTTTGGAATTGCAAATAACTGTGGTTAGAAATGTTATTATAAATAGTGTCTCAGCATCTGATTTTCTGGCAAAATTGTGGGTGCAAAAAGAGTGGCTCATTTAAGATCCTGTTAACAATCAGGACTGTTATTTGGACTTGGCTAAGGAGCATCTCAAACTCAAATCTTTTAAAAGCTTCCAGAGCTGCCATAGGGATATCCTTCAGAACAACATTGCAATGCAGTGGCCCTGCAGACTTTACAAAACTCAGCTGCAGGTACCCTTGGTCTCTTATGCTTTTCAGCTTGTAGGCCTTGCAAATGTAATGTGTGAATTGTTTTACACACTGTTTATAGGAAAGCAAAACTTGGTTTGTCAGGGCCTGGGGAGGCTTTTCATTTTACTCCAACATTTTTAACCAAATAAAATATTAAAATTGACACAAAAATATTGGTTTTAGCAATGCATATTCAATTAATTGAGGAATCTGTAAATTCCTGCTAAATCCTTCTTGATTTTCCCCTTGATTTTCCCACTTCTATTGGTATTTTGAAACAATTTGCTTCCAGCCCCAAACATGAACTTTTAGCTCTAATGAAGATTTTAATTTACTTCAAATGCCAAGTACAGAAGCTCTTTTACCATGCTGAGTAAGAACTTGGGACCTTTGCTCTCTAAGCCTGAGAAGAAGGCTGTTTGGAGGAAGCATTGAGAATGACTTGACAGCTCCCACAGCTAGTACTCAATATGAGCTGCCTTTAGAGTGTATTGAACATGCTCTACACCAACTTTAAAATGATTCCTTTTAAAACAACATTACATACCTCCTTATAGGACTCCCTGTTATAATTCCTGGTTAAGGAACCTTGGCTCATATCTTCTTTTAACCCCATTAGAATTAGAGCAGTGCCTGATCTGACCGATCTCAAGGGGAATGAATGCAAACTCAAAAATTCTCATTGACCTTGCCTACAACACAGTGCTGCTCTTTTGGTGGGGCTGGGAAGTGGAGCTTCCCAACGGGTAAACAGGAAGTGCTTCACCAGGCTATGTTAGGGGTTGGGTCAGGCCGGGCAAAACCAGAGAGGAACATCCTCTTTAAATTGGCAAATAACAGTAATTTGTAATGTGTTTCTCTATCACTACTGCAAGCTAATGGAGTTCTTACTGTATCTTGATTACAACATTTCTTTATAAGATTCAACTCCCTGGATCCTGGCTGGAGGTGATGAGCATTATAACATCACTGTAAGGTTTGCTGTGTACTATTTAATCAGTTCTTTGTGGATAAGATCAGTATCAATCTATTTTCTTGATGACTATCTTCCTGCAAATGAAATGTTAAGTTAGTAATACATATTTCTATAACTTAGTTTACTTGGCTTATTGTTGAGTCTCAAACAACTGGTATTTTTCTCCTTCACTGAACAGTGCCACATTTTGGGAGTGGGGGATTAGCTCTCCCATCTCCAGGGCTGGGGGATTCAAATTCTATTTGAACCCTAAGTGCAAGTGACTTGGATGGTCTCTTGGTCCCTGTGGAAATTAATCCACCTCACAAAGCCACCTCTCTGTTCAGACTGATGTTAGTAAACATGCTGCTGGACAGGACTGCAGCTAACGGGACAAGCTGGTGCAAGGATTAGGGAAATGGGATGCAGTTTTTCACTTCTAGGTTAAGATGTGAACCTAGAGATGAAAACTTTTAACAACTGATAAATACTAGAACTAGAAACAGAAGTAACCAATGTTCAACCTAGGACCAGAGGTGATAAGAACTGTTAAATCTGAGAAATGCTAGGTGGTCATGTGAAATGAGTTGATAGCCTTAGTACAGTTCCTGACTGATGCAGCATCTCAATTGGTAACTTTGTCGGCAGTCTCAGCAGAAAGGCCAAGGATTGAACGGGTCATGGAGACTGAACTATCCTCTCACCTCTAGAGGTGGTCCCTCCAGGACAGAGATGAGGCACATTGGTGGGGGCAGTGTGGGGAAGCTTGCACTGCTGCCGCCCGTGCTGTATCTGTTCTGTGGATAAATAGAGGGCTTCAGCCTCCAGTGTTGTCAATCCAGCACCTTTCACCAGCACTAAATTAAAAAGAATATAAATAAATATAAAAAGGATAGAGGTGCATTGGCAGAGCTGCATGTGAAGTTTGATCGTAATTTGCTCTAGCCAGTGCCATCACTCATTTTAACAAGCATCAAGTTCCCCCAATTAAAAAAAACAAAAACAAACAAAAAAGTCAAACAAAGAAACCAAAGCCATGTTAATTTTAACACAGTGGAACTTTTATATAGTGAAGTTGTTTTTTCTGCTGAACAATTTCACTCTAAATGGAGCTTTCATAATAACCAGATTAGAAACTTGCAAATTGTGAAGTATGGAAAAGATCTAGGACTTTCATAATAATTCATTAGACTGTGGAGGTAAACACTTCTTTATGCCTAACTGAAAATGGACAAAACTGGCAGGGAAGAAATGTTTTATCCTGAACTTATCAAAATGTACTAGTAAGAATGGCAAGTAAAACAAAATAAAATAAATAATATCCAAAAATGTCCCTTCAAATAATACACTTTTAAAATCACTGTTTCTCTTGCTGTTTTGTTATTTGTAGTCAGTAGAGTTATCTAGTTCTCATCTGTGGGAGGTGCTGTCGACTTAAGCATCAGCCAGACATCCTTTTATATTGTTCATCACTTTGGTTCCTAAGCAACAGCAGAGACCATAGCTGAAACCTGAAGGGGCAGTTGGTGATGCTGGGAAGTCAGACAGCTCAGAATGACTGGCAAAGCCTGGGGCTGTGAATACCAGATTTATGAACTGGAAAATAGCTTGAAATGCTGCAAGCACCAGAATCTCACACTGTTCCCTCAAAAGCTTCAGGCCTCATAGAACTAGCTGGGCAGGTTCATTTACAGAGCCTTCTTGACATGACAGGACCATATTCAGTTCCACCTTCCTTTCCCTGCTATGTCACCTTTATTCTAATTACTTTATTATTTGGTTGTCATTATTTTCCTCCAGCTCTTGATAATTAACAAAGCTATTTTTATTGACATAAGTAATCCCATTCCTCAGCTTTCTATTCACCTGATCCTTCTGCTAAATCATCCTGCTGCATTTCTGATATAGCAACAGACTGTGATTTATACTTCATTGTAGGATCATGCACAAAGACAGGCTGCACTGAGAAGAAAAAAGCTCTTATTCTAGTTAAGAAGAAACAAATTCTGCTCCCTCTTTTGTGTTTACAGAGACCACTGGCCACAGTGCAGCCAGTGGAATTCTTTTGTGTGGGGAAAAGGAACAAGATCTGAGCAAGTGGAGCCAAGCTCTACAGCCTGTACTATAGAGGCCTTCTGCATGAGCCTGTGGAGGGAGATGTAGTAGTGGCTGGGGTGGGGGCAGGTGGACATGCAACAGAGCTCCCACAAAAGGGGAAGGAAACAATCTGAACGGAGGTTACTAAAGCTCTGAGGCTGCAGTAGCAGACATGGAGTGACTCCACTGCAGTTCTGAGGCCTGGGGAAAAGGGGATTCACTGCACTAAGCGTAGTTACCCTAAGAGGTAAAGGAAAACAAAACATTAAGAGGTAAAGTATTTTGTGTTTTTTTTCTTCTTGTCTTCAAGTATGATCCAGCATGAAAGTTCTCTTTTAATTCTGGTATCTCTCATTCCAAGCCCTTCAACCTTCATTGTATACATGAATGTTAACCCATCTCACAACTTCTTTAGAATGGCCTAATTTCCTTAAAGACACAAGACTGAACTTTGCCTTTTCCTGATGTTCCACTTCTTGCAAGTATTGTAACAAATAACTATTTACAGCCTTCAGCAGATTGTTTGCCATAGGGCAGTATGGCATCCTTTCCCTTACAGTGTCTGTGATGCAAGTGGTTGGCTCAATTGTGTGGAAGCACATTCAAAACCATTACATAATTAAACTGCCTGAAGTCAGCAAGTACCAAAGATATACACTCCACCAAATTTTGTTGAAAAGATGACTGAGACCACTTTGGCGGTTACACAAAACATTTCAGAAGAAGTCACTGTTGAAAAAACAATCCCTAATTCCAAAAGTAAAATAGTAAAATTACTGTATATTTCAAGCATCTCAGCAGCACAATCTATAAACTGATAGGACAAGAGTCAGGGCCATTTGGGTTCCTGAACTCTTCACTCAAAGTCTCTCCATTCTTACCTCGTGCACTGGGAGGGGCAGAGTTAATCATCTGCGATGGTGCAGAGTGGGTAGAACTCAGGCTTGAAGTGGAAGGACTGGCCTGGGATGAGGATAAAACAGAGATGTTGGTGACTGAGCCTTGGTACGTGGAGTTAGGGTAAACAAGCTGCAGGAGGCAGAGAAATCAGCAAGACAGAAAACTGAGCAGACTGGTGCATTATATATTCACCTGCCTCAGATCATCAAATGTGTAGGGAATATGACCTCTGTCTAGGAAACAGTTACAATAAAACTCACTATTAACACTGTACAGTCATTGGGCTGTGGGACCCATTTCGGCCTCTCAGATTGACTGTCATGGATTGAAAGAGACATTACTTAGTAAGATAAGCATCTCAATAAGAAAAACTAACTATTCTGCTCACTAGGTGATAACACACCCCTTATAAAGATGATCTTTACTTTGCTCTGTTCTTAGGCTGCACTAGGAACTTTTAATTTACACCTATAGAAAACCTGGATTTGTGCTGGAAATGGCCCAACTTGATGGACTTAGATAAGCTATTACCAGCAGGACAGTGGGGTGGGAGGGGGTATTGTTTCATGGTCTCTGTGTGTATATAATGTCTACTGCAGTTTCCACGGTATGCATCCGATGAAGTGAGCTGTAGCTCACGAAAGCTCATGCTCAAATAAATTGGTTAGTCTCTAAGGTGCCACAAGTACTCCTTTTCTTTTTGCAAAGACAGACTAACACGGCTGTTACTCTGAAACCCATAGAAGAGTTAATCATATTTACCTTAGAAAGAAATCACTGGGAGCAATCTTTGCCTCCATGGCATTTCTATCAATCTTTAGGAGATACTGATCTCTACACCAGGTCAGACTCCATGGGATTACTGCTATATCTTTTCAATTCATAGCTATAGATAAATCTAAGACAGAAGAGGTCTAAGTATGGCTATTGTACATGTAAATAATTATTGTCCTAAGTACAGCCTATGGGGCATGTTCAATTATATTCCTAGCAATAGGTCCTTGATGTTGTATGGCAGCTATACCTGCATGTGGTACATGTCCTCAGCGGTTTCCCCTACAGAACTGTCTGTTAGGACAACCAGGTTTCCTGTTTCACTGGAAGTATGGGAGGAAAGAGAGGATGACGAGTGTCGGACTGAACCCAGCAAGTTCAATGGGCTAAAACAAAAATGGAGACAGAGGAAAAACAGGGTGCAAAGGTTAGACAATATTCTTTTCCAAATCTTAGTTTTAAGTAGTGAGGCCTGATCTTCAAAGGTGCTGAATACCTGCAAGTCCCAGAGACTTTTGTGTTGAAAACCTTTGAAAAATCAGGCCATAAATGCTTACGCAAATATGCCCATCCCTTACATTTTCATGGCAAATGCAATAAGAAACCAATACTATTACATTTCAGTTACATACACACTGACAATATAAAACAAGGTCATTCAAACTTCAATCTGGGGCCAAGCTGGCATCCTTCCAGGAAGCTGAGTGCTACCCCTAATTTGCCTCAAACAGAGCAGACTGAAACCACTCTCATTTTTAATGCTGAGATGCAACCTGTGGAGACAGCTCCCAGGAATGTTTCATTGAGCTGCAGCAGAGGTTACTCAGATCAAGATGGAGCATTTCCTGTGCAGTCTGTAGTCTCCTTGGTCGACACACATGGATTAGAATTGAAGGCAACTGCAGCTGAATGTAGAACTCGATGGCCCAAACGGCCTGCAGGCTGCACTTTGATCTCTCATGATGTAAAATCGCGTTGATATATTCCTCTCTTACTCTGAATCTCACACACAATATACACAGTAGAATCTTGCTAAATCACACCGACAACATGGAAGCTCTTTACAAGTTGCAAAAAGAAAAGGAGTACTTGTGGCACCTTAGAGACTAACCAATTTATTTGCTCAAATAAATTGGTTAGTCTCTAAGGTGCCACAAGTACTCCTTTTCTTTTTGCGAATACAGACTAACACGGCTGTTCCTCTGAAACCTTTACAAGTTGATGACTTTTGAGAAAAGTGCCATCACTTTGACTGAGTGGCAGACTGTGGAATTCTACCACACAATTTAACTTCTTGGATTTACGCACCTGAGAGTGAGTTGCTGCACCCTGTTCTACTGAAAAAAGCTTTAAAATCAGCTATATGGTCTAACTCTTCAAAAGGAAAAAGCAGAGAATAGCAACTAAGACTTCACAACTCCTGTACCATTTTTGTGTTTGTTGTTCTGTCTTGTGAGGCGATAACTCTTTTCAACTAACAGCACATTTTATAGAGGCTAAAAATATTTGTTTGTATCCTGAAGTCCTGCTATCATCAGTGCTAGGGTTGGCGTTAGGAAAGTCTCAGTCTGAATCAGAATCAAGAAGTTCAGATGCTTATCTAAACCTTATAAGCCTCTTAAATCTGAAAATTGGCCTGTGTTATTTTATACCATTCTGATCTAATACCTTGAAAGCTTCTCTTATTGTATTTTGGTTCTAGTCTAGGCTGGAAATCAGAATTGTAAACACAACAATCTGAACATCTTTAGAATCTTAAACAAAGATTCAGTTTGAGTTCAATTCCAAAAATAAGCAACAAGACTTTTTTTTTTTGGTTGTCAAAATATGTGTTTTATTTAACCTGAGCAGGCTGCCAATCCCTCATTTACATGTCAGAAATATTAAAAGTTTGGACTTTCAAAGTCATCGTGAATTTTGGGCTATAAGAAAAATCTAAGTGACAGTTAAGGATATTTTATCTGTTTGTATAAACATTGCGGTGGAGTCGCTACGTGTCAGCTTCCAGCTAACAAGCGCTTAAGATCTCTATTAAATCCCTGGCTTCTCAGTGCAACACAGCTTCCAACCTAGACATGAGAGGGAACAGATGGCTTCACTTCAAAGCTTTCCAGTGATGACTCTGAATCAAACATCAGTGGTCATTGCAGACAAACAAAAGGGACACTTTTCTACAAAGGCTGATGGTATTGCCTCCACAGTACTTCTAGCCACCTATGAGGCTAGGCTTATTTGGGCCCATAAACTTTATTAAAATCCCTCTCTGCCCTTCCATGGAGTTTTGAGAACTCATGCCAGCACAGGATGGTACATTTAGAACTTTCTGCTTAAACTGTTAGAAATTCTAGAGATTACAGCAGAAAAACAGGTACCTGTGTCGATGCACCAGCTTGATGCTCTCTGGACTCATAGGGCTGTGTGACACAAGAACACTGCTGCGTGGGGTGCTGCTACCAGAACAGGCTGGACTCAACTTATCCAAACCAGGCAACTCCTACATAGGAAACACAAAATCACTTATTTACTTCAGAAATTTTGGGCTTGATCATGGGAAAAGGGAAATAAGCTTTCCCTTTTTATCAAAAGTGATACATCTGTGACTATGTTCTTCACAGAGCTATTATGGTTTTGCAATTAGCCCAAGAGCTTTCAGACCCCTTCACTCCCAACCTAATTAGCTTGATACCAACAATTCCCAGGCACCACCTCAACAATTTGCTGGAAGTTTAGGCATACAATGGACCAGATTGTGACTGCCTTCATTTTTAATATGAAGATATGGCATGCAGAGAATAAAAATACCAGCATGTAGTGTGGCCCAGCCACTTGTACAAAGATGGGGAACTGCAGGTTGGGAGCTGTAGTCTATGGGGACCACATCTCCATATTAAAGGTGGGCCATATTGTAGAATTCTGGAGGCCTCATTTGTGGCCATCCTCACATAGCACTTAGAAAATGTAGATTTGCCTTTCAGCATATAACGTTAAATGCTACCATATGTAATTCAAAATGTTTTCTTAAATCTTTGAAAGCTGCCCCTTCTTTGTTTTTTAAAATGTTTATGAAGGAGTCAAGGTATCTGTGAAAATGACACTGTACTGTGAATAGATAAGTGGTCTGCCATTTCTTAAGATCCATTTGACCCAAACACCTCAAGAAGCTGTCCCAAAGCACTGAAGAATAAAACAGCATAAAGGGTCAAGTCGACATCACTCTTAGTGATAGTGGAGTCTATGGCTCCTCTATGATGTCTGACAACGTTATTAACAATCTGAGAAGCAGAGAAATTTAGACTTGTCTTGGGTTCACTGACTCTGCACGAACCACTGATTAAAAAAACCCCACAACATTTACCAGACAGTCAGCACTTACCAAGACACTAATGATTGTTCTATGACTGTTCTATTTCTCCTCTCCTCTTCCCCCCCCCCCCCCAACAGGTGTTGTCTTTTCAGTGATGTGCCTCAGGATACTGAGGATTAGGGTGGGATGTAGAGGGGATAAATTGGCCATAGGGAGGAGATGACCATGAAACTACTATGAGATCAGATTTCTTCAAACAGAACAGGAGCAGTCTTCTAAATGAGCTTTATCTTACACAGCGTTAACCTTTCTAATTCTGAGTGTTTGGTTCTACAGCTGCAGCCAAATCTTGAGACACTAGTAACTGAGAGGCAGCACAGTGCGCTTTTTGTATAATTAACTTCTTATTAAGCTTTCAAACAAATTGGCATGAAAAAGCTTCTGATCACACAACTCTTCTGAGTGACAACACATAAGCATCACATACCTATTTATTATGTGCTATTGAATTATAGAATCATAGAATATCAGGGTTGGAAGGGACCTCAGGAGGTCATCTAGTCCAATCCCCTGCTCAAAGCAGGACCACTCCCCAACTAAATCATCCCAGCCAGTGATTTGTCAAGCCTGACCTTAAAAACCTCTAAGAAAGGAGATTCCACCACCTCCCTAGGTAACCCATTCCAGAGCTTCACCACCCTCCTAGTGAAAAAGTTTTTCCTAATATCCAACCTAAACCTCCCCCACAGCAACTTGAGACCATTACTCCTTGTTCTGTCATCTGCTACCACTGAGGACAGTCTAGATCCATCCTCTTTGGAACCCCCTTTCAGGTACTTGAAAGCAGCTATCAAATCCCCCCTCATTCTTCTCTTCTGCAGACTAAACAATCCCAGTTCCCTAAGCCTCTCCTCATAACTCATGTGTTCCAGTCCCCTAATCATTTTTGTTACCCTCCGCTGGACTCTTTCCAATTTTTCCACATCCTTCTTGGGATTGGGCCAAAAGAAATCTGATGAGGTTCAATAAGGATAAGTGCAGGGTCCTGCACTTAGGACGGAAGAACCCAATGCACAGCTACAGACTAGGGACCGAATGGCTAGGCAGCAGTTCTGCGGAAAAGGACCTAGGGGTGACAGTGGACGAGAAGCTGGATATGAGTCAGCAATGTGCCCTTGTTGCCAAGAAGGCCAATGGCATTTTGGGATGTATAAGTAGGGGCATAGCGAGCAGATCGAGGGACGTGATCGTTCCCCTCTATTCGACATTGGTGAGGCCTCATCTGGAGTACTGTGTCCAGTTTTGGGCCCCACACTTCAAGAAGGATGTGGATAAATTGGAGAGAGTCCAGCGAAGGGCAACAAAAATGATTAGGGGTCTGGAACACATGAGTTATGAGGAGAGGCTGAGGGAGCTGGGATTGTTTAGTCTGCAGAAGAGAAGAATGAGGGGGGATTTGATAGCTGCTTTCAACTACCTGAAAGGGGGTTCCAAAGAGGATGGCTCTAGACTGTTCTCAATGGTAGCAGATGACAGAACGAGGAGTAATGGTCTCAAGCTGCAGTGGGGGAGGTTTAGATTGGATATTAGGAAAAACTTTTTCACTAAGAGGGTGGTGAAACACTGGAATGCGTTACCTAGGGAGGTGGTAGAATCTCCTTCCTTAGAGGTTTTTAAGGTCAGGCTTGACAAAGCCCTGGCTGGGATGATTTAACTGGGAATTGGTCCTGCTTCGAGCAGGGGGTTGGACTAGATGACCTTCTGGGGTCCCTTCCAACCCTTATATTCTATGATTCTATGATTCTTGCCCAGCCATTCAGTCCCTAGTCTGTAGCAGTGCACGAGATTCTTCCGTCCTAAGTGCAGGTCTCTGCACTTGTTTTTGTTGAACCTCATCAGATTTCTTTTGGCCCAATCCTCTCATTTGTCTAGGTCCCTCTGTATCCTATCCCTACCCTCCAGCATATCTACCACTCCTCCCAGTTTAGTGTCATCCGCAAACTTGCTGAGGGTGCAGTCCACGCCATCCTCCAGATCATTAACGAAGATATCGAACAAAACCGGCCCCAGGACCGACCCTTGGGGCACTCCACTTGATACCGGCTGCCAACTAGACATGGAGCCATTGATCACTACCCGTTGAGCCCTACGATCTAGCCAGCTTTCTATCCACCTTATAGTCCATTCATCCAGCCCATACTTCTTTAACTTGCTGGCAGAGTATTGTGGGAGACCATATCAAAAGCTTTGCTAAAGTCAAGGAATAACACGTCCACTGCTTTGAAGCTAACTTTTGGTCTCTATCTTCTTAAATAACCATGGATTCCTTTGCTAGTGAATTTTAAGAAGTGATAATTACATGCAATGGACATGTCTCCCCTCACTAAGGACAGCTGAGTAGTAAATGTGCTAACAAAGTAATGACTTCAGGAGCAGTTCCAAGAGGCAAGCTCTTTTTAAATCTTCCAACAAAACTAAATGCAAATCAACTCATGTACACTTGGTTAAACAACACACTAAACAGGCCCCACTATTTCAACACTGGAGATTAACCCTGAAATTTCCTAAAGCACATTTTAAGTGGAAGGCCCTATTTGTTCTTTCTATTGTTGTAGAATAAAACACACATAAAATATGATGCATATATGTGAAACTGTGACTGCCAATTATCTACTCTGAGCAAATTTCTATGGAGGTAAAAACATCAGCAGCTGTTGGTGCCATGTTTACATTAGCTCTCCCACCATTGCAGCACTGGACTAATGATAGGACTTGTCAGGCTAAAAAGCCTACAGGAGATAAGGGCATTCTGACTATGGGACTGATCCTCTGCCTTCTACTTCTGTCCTTGTCTGGTGAGAGGACTTCCATCCCCCAGTGCACGGAGCAGGAAAGGACTTCTCCCACAAAAGATGACTAGAAGGCATATCCCATCAACATCCTGGTCTGCAGAGCTAATTGCTGAGTATGATCTGCCAACCAGGGAATGTGGCCAGCCCCGCATCTGGGTGGCACCTATGCTGCATTCAACAGGTTGCAACAGGATGGTTGTTTTGTGAGATGGGCAACTAGTACTGTCTAGTCATCTTTCTCCCCACCCCTGGCACAGCACCCCATGATAAGGGCAAAATTTTGCCCTACGTTATGTAAGACAGTGTGAGTATTCAGCTTCACAGACCTTCTCCCACATCACCAGTGATATAAATTACAGGAGGGGGACCTTGAAAAATCCCAGGGACTGTATTAAGGGCTCAGTTTGCAAATCTTTTTGGGCTTTAATTTTTGCACTGGAAACAAGGTTTCCTGTAAGAGTTAGACAATCCCATAGGTTTAATATACACTACTTTTGTCCAGTTCCTGTGTGCATCTCATTGCAACTGAATTAATTTTTAGCATGGCTCTGAACTACTGACAACGACCCGGAAGTGGTGGTGGGGGTGATTAGCTTACATGGTACAGACTAGATCGCATCATTTGGAACTGATCAATCAGTTTCTTATGTAGAGGACGCATCTCTGGATGTACAAATTTCTCATGTACTGCCAGACCCACTCCAAGAACATGGACCTATTAAAAAAAAAAAAGGAATTATAACATCATGAATCAAGAACATCTTCATTCAGCCTAGAAGACACTACATAATTTGTCCTCTAGTTTGGTCAGCGAGTGAGAGAGATCTGTAAAAGAGTCTCTTGTTCATTTGCAAGATTGCTGAAAATTAGTAAACATAAGAAAGCTGACAAGTATGTGTTTAACATACATTTTAAGTGTGAGACAACCACGTTTGTGACATGTTGGATTTACAGTTGCAAGAGAGAACAGTAAAAAATGACAAAATTGATTCACTCTGCAGACAGTGTTGAGTCCTCACTCAGTTAGTTCTTTGTGACACAGGAAATTCCCTTTGTCCATATCTTCACATAATGTCAGACAAGGGATCAAAGTTGCTAATGGAGATTTGTAGGGGGATTTTCTACAATTAATCTGAATAGTGGCAAAGCTGCAATGTACACTATTAACTGTCGGCTCTCTATTGCTCATTATTTATTCATAAAGGTCCCATTTTTAAAGGTCATGAATATAATAGTGAGTAGCATTATATAAACTCTCAGATGAGAGAGCACAGTAATACTTAATAATAATACTTAGCATTTATATAGTTTACATCATGTACAAGTAATATCTAATTGATCCTCACGACTCCCCCTGAGAACTGGTAAAATAAGCATTATCCTTATTTTGCAGATGGAAAATCTGAGATACACACAGGGATTAAGTGACCCTCAAAGTCTATGCTACCTCTGCTGAATAATCCCCAAAACTCCATTCAGACTTGGACAGACTTTTTGAATATAGCTTAAGAATGACCATACCGGGTCAGACCAATGGTGTATCTAGCCTAGTACCGTGTCTTCCAACAGTGGCCAATGCCAGATGCTTCAGAGGTTATGAACAGAATAGGGCAATCACTGACTGATCCAACCCCTGTTGTCCACTCCCAGCTGCTGGCAGTTAGAGGCTTAGGATACCCAGAGCACGGGGTTGCATCCCAGACCATCTCGGCTAATAGCCATTGATGGACTTATCCTCCATGAGCTTATTTAATTATTTTTTGAACCCTTCACAACATCCCCTGGCAATGAGTTCCACAGGTGGATTGTTCATTGTGTGAAGAAGTACTTCCTTTTGTATGCTTTTAATTTGCTGCCTATTAATTTCATTTGGTGACCCCCTAGTTCTTGTGTTATGGGAGGGGATAAATATTTTGCCAATCATTAATTTAACAGTGACATGATTTTTCTTTCTCATCACATCACTGATTTACAACCTATCTGGTGAGATTTTATATGTTTGTGCAAGTGAGACACTGAGAACACTGGACAGAGTCAGGGATAGTGCAAGTAGGCTCTGTATATGCTTTCCCACATGGCTCTGCAAACATATTTCAGTTATGATCTGTACCACCCTTACTATGTCTATCCTGAGACTCCACTGAGAAGAAGTTGCTAACTATCCTAAAATGATGGGTAGTTTTGTAATGTAGAAAGACATCCATTGCTTAATAAAAGGAGAAGCCATACTCATTTAATTTGTTATTTAAATTAGGCTTCAACTCAGGTGAAAGGCTAGTGCATTATTAATTCATTGGCCTTCTCACTTCCCTATGCTTTAAATACACTGCAAAGCTCCTGTGTTTCTTTGCTTCTGAATGAATTATTTAGCTCTGGGTTTGCAAAGTGATTGCTGAGGAATCCACACACTATCACAGCATTCTTCCTTCATTGTTAAAAGCACAGCAGTACCTGTTCTTGCATGAGCTCCTTGAGCTGTGTGATTTTTTCTGCATCTCCAGGGTGCTTGGTGATATAATCTTTATCAAAAAAGGCCTGTGGGAAAAAGACAAATCATCTCCTTATTAGGAAACAATTTATTATGTCCAGTGATGAGCTGTCAAAATCTTAACAACTGGTTCCATATAAAAAGTTCTGATTTAAGGGATGTGCCCCAGTATGTATTTTTTGTACCAACAGGGTTACCATACGTCCGTATTTACGTATACGTAAATTTTAAAAATTCCTCCCGGACGGCGATTTAAGAACCAAAAAGCCTGACCTGTCTGGGAAAATACGGATGTATGTTAACCCTGCCTAAAGTTCTTTTCTAAAAAGATGGGCCTGAACTAGAAATGAGCTCTGTTTCCCATGTGTGGGTCCCTGCCACTCCCTGGGGGTGTGCTAGGGTGACCAGATGTCCCGATTTTATAGGGACAGTCCCGATTTTGGGGTCTTTTTCTTATATAGGCTGCTATTACCCCCCACCCCCTGTCCTGATTTTTCACACTTGCTGTCTGGTCACCCTAGGGTGTGCACATGTGTGGGTCCCAGCTGCTCCCTGCCCCCCTCATTGAAGCAGGTGTGAAGGGTTACTGCCCTGGGAACTGCAGGGCTCCAGCGGACGTGGGGCCAGCTGCAGACAAGGGTGTGGGGCAGGGCTAGCTGGAGGCAGGGGGTGCAGGGCTGGCTGTGGACAGGGCAGCGGGTGCGGAGCTGGCTGGAGACGGGAGGGTGCGGGGTTGGCTGGAGGCAAGGGCGTGTGGGGCTGGCTGGAGACAGGGCAGGGGCTGACTGGAGGTAGGGGCTGGCTGCAGGCAGGGCAGGGGGGTGCAGGGCTGGCTGGAGACAGGGGCTGGCTGCGGGCAGGGCAGGGAGTGCAGCAGGGGCTGGCTGCAGGCAGCGGGTGCAGGGGTGGCTGGAGACAGGGGCTGGTACGGGCAGGGCAGAGGGTGCTGGGGTGGCTGGAGGCAGGGCAGGGGGTGTGGCAGGGGCTGGCTGCAGGCAGGGGGTGCGGGGGTGCCTGGAGACAGAGGCTGGCTGTGGGCAGGGCAGGGGCTGGCTGCAGGCAGGGGGTGTGGGGGTGGCTGGAGACGGGTGGCTGGAGGCAGGGCAGGGGGTGGCTGGAGGCAGGGAGTGCGGGGGTGGCTGGAGATGGGGGCTGGCTGCAGGCAGGGCAGGGGGTGCGGCAGGGGCTGGCTGCGGGCAGGGCATGCGGGGCTGGCTGGAGGCAGGGGGTGGCTGCGGGCAGGGTGGTGGGTGCTCACGGGGAGAGCGGCTCGGAGCAGCCCAAGCAGCAGGACGCAGCCCAGGCCCGGCAGAGCAGCCGGGGACCCACCAGGCAGCAGCGGGAGCCCCAGGGCCAGGGGAGCAGCAGCAGCAACAGGGCTCATGCCTAAGGCCAGGCGGCAGCCTACATGGCTCCCACAGCGCAGCTCCCCTGGCAGCCGGAGGAGGAATTACATCACTTCGCGGCCGGAGCCCATCAAAGCCTCAGCGCCCCCTGCAGGGAAGCGGTTTAACAACCGGTTCTAAAACTGCTTCAAAATTTAACAACCGGTTCACGCGAACCGGTGCGAACCGGCTCCAGCTCACCACTGATTATGTCCATATGTCAAAGAGGGAGAAAAGAAGGAACAGAAATCCTAGGGGACCCAAGTACACTTAGCAAACTGAAAATTCCATTTAACTGATCTCTTCTAGTATTTTGGGACCTAGATGAAGCTACAGTACCACAATTTTAGCTGCCTAGAAAATTCTGCTCCTCAGTTAGTCAAAGGGATCACTATTGAGTAGCATAAGGTATTCTCTCCCAGCCCCAAAGGATCATGAATCTAATCAAATCTCCCCACATGACAGTGCAGAGCACTGTCATTAAGCACATTACTTGAATTTTATATAGCTTCTTTCATTTAAGTATCTCAAGAAACTGTAGGAAATAAGTGACTAAAGGAGTAAATAATGTAAGGGATGAAGAGCTTTTTCTGTGCTTCTCTGCAGGGCACACACAATCCAAAAATGTGGACCAGCATCATCATTTTTCAGTATGTGTCCCTGTAGCTCCCTTTTGCAACATACATCTTTAACTAACTCCTGGCGAAGGAAGCAGAACATTAGGTCCCCTTAGGACTAAGACTATACTGGACACTGTCTGGCAAAGACAACTCTTTGGAAGTGCCAGCCAGCAACTTTCCCTCAGCAGGAACCTCATCACATTCAGTCTCCATCAGCACAGAGAGCGAGTCCCACTGCCTGCTTTGGAAAACGTGTTTACAGTGTAGCAGCACATGAACTGCCTGCTTCACTATTGTACCTGCAAGATCAGCTGTGCCGTGTCAATCAGAACTTACACTTGAGAAGCTGCGTTTTCAACTGTGCCATCTAACCAGGACATCCAGAACCCATATCTGGACATTCATATCAACACTTAGCTACATACAACAGGATTTACTTGTCCAAGTGCTGATATATAAACAACTAAACATGGGATTTCAGCATCCTGTTTAGATCACAAGTATGAAAACTGGGCACATAGGGGTAATTTCTTATATTTGACTTTTTATTATGTCATGCTATTTTCAACACAGCAGGAGAAATGCTTCTGGGAAAGAGCTGCTAATAGGTTGATACTAAACTCAGAGGTACAGTCCCTACTTACCTCCTGGTACCGTGCTATGCCACCATTCACTGCTGCATCAATCACTCCATTCAGACACATGCTGAGCAGGTTAATGTTGCCATGCATTTGCTTGTGCTGATACTGGCTTATCAATGTCCTCAGTTCCTGGTTTTTGTTCTCAACAACTTGAATGGCATTTTCCAAAGGGCTTACCTCGACCTACAAGGCAACAAAGAATAGTTCAATGCCACGGATACCTCATTGCTACCACGTTCCCTTCCTTACTATGAAACCAATTCCTACTACTGCTGATGAGCATTCAAATTTTTTTCTGATTTGCAGACTAGCTAGCCATTTTGTTATGATGGCTTTTCACAACAGTTTTCCTGTGTGTCAGCAATACATCTCAGTTCACCTCACTGCGCACTCATCTTAGCAGTTACAATAGCTGTCACATGTCTCTGAATAACTGACTGAAGATGCTATCAAGATTCAGAATCACACCTCACTGTCATTTACTCTGACTGCTCTGTTCCCTTCACACTGCTCCTCTTGTTATGTTTAGCAATTATTTTAGCTGAGGGAATGGATTCTGCAATATCCACCAGTGAAGCATGAATTTTTTTCAACTGCTAGACCCAGCCAAGAGGCTTTAAATTGTCCATCCTTCATTCTGAAGAAACTATCCATTCATATCCCAATTACAAGTATAAGAAATGTTACCAGCTCTCTTCTCTCCACTTCAAACCACCGAGAGATCCCAGGTAAACTGTGAGTCAGTGTCAGAGTGGTACGTTCAATCCACAAGCTCTGCAAAGAATACAGTAAGTGGGGGACCCAGTGACTCAGAATCTGAACACTCTTATTCTCACTGCAGTTGTTCAGGAGTAGCTGAATAGAAGAGTGCATTAATACTCTGAGCAGACATTATGTTTTTCACAATGTAACACGTAACATGAAACTGTAACATGAAATGTAACATGAAACTGAAGTCTGCTTTACATTTAAACACAAAGAAAAAAACTCAGTGTGCTTTAAAGCAATGCACCAAACCTTTCAGTTAGTTTCTAGACCTCAGACCCTAGGTCTGCTATCAATTAGCTGGGAACTAAGAGATCATTTTGGGTAATATGTCAATCAACCAAACAACCCCTATTGCTTCAGAATCCCTCTCCATGGCACTGCCACAAGTACCTTTTAAACAGAGTAGGCTTTACTTATGCCAGGAGTGCAACCACTGGGCTCAACAGTCCTGCATTTTATTTGAATTAAAACAACATCTTGCGGCACCAATTTAGGATTAAGGCCCCATTGTGTGATGCGCTGTACAAATGCAGAAGAGGAAGACACTACTACCTGCCCTGGAAATATTAAAATTTAGTTACTATTACTGAGTGCTCCTACCTTAAATTCATTCTCTTTGTCCTTTGGACCTTTGTGGAAAGGCCTATCATAGCGGAATTTCCTGATGTTGTTGACGCGATAAAAGCTCTTTATACGATCAGGCACACGTTCCATTTGTAGGACATCAATATTGTCTGGGATGGGAGTCACTGCATATATCTGTAAATCTGCAAAACGAGGAGTCAAAGAAACACACGGAGGCATCAAATAAGAAAACAATGAGACAAAACATGACTCTCTTAGGGATGTCACATGTTACCAAAAGAAAAACGATGGAGAAAGTGTGAAATCCATGCTTCCCTTTTCCTTCCATTACACACCTCTCCTTTTCACTGCTGCTTCAAACTCATTGGGCTAGCATCTCCAGAGCTAGGGGACTAGAGTGCTGTAGGAACTTCAGGCCAGGTTGTCAAATGTATTTAGGCAACTGAATATGCACCTAATGGGATTTGCTAAAGTGCCTAAGCAGTTGATTCTCATTGATGATAAAGGAAGTTAGGTGTCTAACTTGCTTAGGCACTTCTGTAAATCCCACTAGGCATCTGGGCTGCATCTTTCAGCACCTAAATACCTTCGAAAATCTGGCCTTAACTTAGGCTTTGTCTACATGCACAGGTTGTACTGATTTAACAAAATCAGTCTAGAAACCGATTTAATTAAACTTGTCCAACTTGTGTGTAGAAAAGGCATGAGAAAGCAAAGCAAAGAAAACCCAAACTGTCACAACCCAAAACAAACCCTTGTTATTTGGTGGTTCAGCATCACACAGCAAGGAAAAACTGGGTTCTGTCAGGGATGGAAGGCAGCAGTGGGAATGGGAAATACTGACCATTCTACTCCTGGTAAATTTAACTTGAGGCTATTAGTCAGTAAAGTCAAAGTACTGTTCATTATGCTAACTGGTGAAATAGGAGCCAGCGGGCAATCTTCCCCTCCCATCTCACCTAAAATGTTCACACTCTCAAACAAATGCCATGTGGGCCAGTCCTCAGACACTGCACAGCAACATTACTTTTGTTTCAGAGTAACAGCCGTCTTAGTCTGTATTCGCAAAAAGAAAAGGAGTACTTGTGGCACCTTAGAGACTAACCAATGTATTTGAGCATAAGCTTTCATGAGCTACAGCTCACTTCATCGGATGCATACTGTTACTTTTGTTGTCTGCATTTAAATTCACAATGCAGATTAGTATCAATGGGATGAAGTCTGATGTACTGCATAAAAGAGCAGACAGTCTGAATGGAAAGGAACGTGCAGTGTACAAGGAAGGTGAAGTGAAAAACAAACAAAATGGAAAGTATGTCGAGAATAGGCATGAATCTAATTGCACGGTTCTCTCTTGTGGAATTGCAGAAGGTAGCCAGGTGGATGTCTGGTGAAATGTAATGTTCAATAAGGGAGCGAGTGTCAGTAACGGTTAGAATAAAGCATGGACCAGACTGGGCACGGGGCACATCTTCCCACACAGTCCTGAGAATGTACATCAGCCATGACCTGAAGTATTCCCTAAGCAAAAATGACAATTATGTCCAATTGGTGTGCAATGATGTAGATAAATATCCACTAAACACAAGTTGGAGATGATGAAAATCATGACACCTATCACTAAAGCCAGATATGAACCAAGAATTTCTAAAATGAAACAGTTTTCTTTTCCCTATACCCTTTGTATCCTACAACAGTTTGATTAACATTAGGCTGCCTTATGAAAGGATACACTGAGCATCACACTGCAAAATGGTGTCATCTGGGTGGTTTGGGTGCTGCATTGCAATGGCTTGTGGGAACTCACTCAGCATTCTTTGTTGGAAGGTCTCCAGCCTTTCGTAGTCATGGCCTCGACATACATACTCCTTGTTCTGCAAAACAAACAGGCACGAAAACCACTAAATTCCTAAACCATTCTCTTTGCTTTCCTTGCTGTTTAATTGGAACCAGTCTTCTTCATACATAATAACAGGCAAAAATCTATATATTTTTAAATTTTTGTTTTATTACATCAAAAATAAAAGTTATAAATGATAAAGTTATGAAAACATCTTAAAAAGATTTAACTACTTAGTTATTAATTATTACTATTAATTATTTACAATGTTTAACTTTATATCTATCTATAATATGGATGCCATCAAACATAGGAATCCACAACTCAGCGTCCAAGATTAAACTTGGAACGTGGACTGAAGCAACTGTTTAGAGTAACTACTGGAAGTAAGACATATGTTACTAGTAATCTAGTTCCCTCTTTTGTCCCATTAAAGATGCAAACTAATCCACAGCAGGTCCAAATATGTTTTAAATTCTTTTAACCAAGCTGACAGAGTAGGAGCAACAGGTTTTGTCCTGAAATGCAGAATCTCTTTTTTGTAAGCAAAATTAATGTATTGTCGTTTTCAAAAATGAATCTAGATAAAGGGTTGAATCATCTGAAGTCAATGGTGAAATGTCAGCATGATTTGATTGGAATCAGGATAGGATCCAGCATCTCTTCTATATCCACCCCAAAAATTTGTCCCCTTTTTCATTTGACAAAATTGTGCAGTGAAGTCCAGAAAATTCCAATTACGAGACACTCCCAGAAACAATGTGCTGACTTTTTTCACCCCATGCTTAAGGAAGTCTGCTAGTATTTCAGCTGTAAAGTGATGGAGCACTGCCACTGAACAAAAGATAAAAACAAATGCATCTACTTACATTGTGTTTGTAACAAGTGAAGTAAAGGGGTAAGCCAAGGCTTCAAGCCATGGTTTATTGTGTAAGGATAGCCTTGCAAATCTCACTGCCATAGATATTTGAGGCCTATGTATTTGAAAACATGATTTATAACAGGGCCATATATTTTAGAAAGATGCTGCTTAGATACCTGTCATGAAAGGAGTGACTCTTCCAGAAGATGTTTTTAAAAAGAAGATATAGTTGCTTCTGTCTAATATAGTCAGCTAAACCCATCTAACTTGTAAATACACATAGAAATCTCTGTAGGGTGAATCTTGTTTAGTTTTAAGCTGGTAAAAAATCTTGTTATGCTACTTGGCAAAACAATTTCCCAGATATTTCAGCCTTTTATCTTCTTTTCATTTTTTGTCTGGATCTTTAAAGACAGGAGAGAAACCTGGAAACTCCCTCAATTGTGCACAGAGGCGCAAATCTTATTCTCATCCCACACACTGAATAATGCACTGAGAAGGTCTGCAGGGACCCAGCATGGTGAAGGAATCTTCCATGCCACACTTGGAGAGCACCTTCAAACACTACACCGTCTTTCATGGAAGGGAATGGCTGTGCCCCAAATCGCCGGACCCCAAATCTCCATTCTTCATAAGAAGTTCAGGTAGCCCCTAAAGAGCTGACTCACTGAATTCTCCTCTTCCATGCAGCAAAACCATACTGGTCACACTGCAGCCATAGCCCTCTATGCCCAGGCAAGTGTGGGCAGAAGCAGCGTAATCTAGTCTCAAAATAAATACTGAGCTGTTACCTTGGGAAAAAATCTGAGCCTTCAGTGTGGTATTCATGTTTGGATTACATTAGAAGAATGCTCCATTACTGTAAGTTAAATTAGGAAAAATGATACGGCAAACAGAACAAGGCTTTGAGGCCCTGGTAATTTGAAGCAGTTCCTTTCATCTCTGCATCTTGTAATCCTAGAGTTAATGCTGCTCAGTTGTAGAATTTCCAGATTGGTAAAAGAAGGCTGACACAATCTTTAGATCTATAAAGCCTCTACACTTATTTGGGATCTTTCCATTCTGTAAGAAAAGCACGATGATTTTTTTTATTGAGCTCTCCTTTTCTAAAACCAGCTGGGCAATTAAATTGTTAGACCTTGAAGCTAATACATTACCCTAGGAAAGATATTTGCATACTGTTAGCATTAATCACAAGAGATACAGGCGGAATGGGCTATGTGTGAAAGCTGCACTTAACATAGACTGTAGAAGGACATTTTGTTCCTTACCTCTACATTATATTTTTGCAAGAAGCTCCTCTAATCCAGAACTAATGGGCTGTTCCACTGTCCTCCCACACATAAGTAGATTGATCCTTCCCACTGAACAACTGCTCAGCAACAAGACCACCCCTAAGAAGTCATCTGAATGGCTTCTTAGCTAAATGATAGATTGCTTTTTTTTTATTAAACTAAACCCAAATAAATATATAGACACACAAACACCCCTGACCCCCACATCATCCAGGATTTGTCACAGAACCACCAGATGTGACACTGTGGATTGGGAAAGTCTTTTGTCAAAATGAAATTTACAGGTAAGGGACAAAAAGCTTGATGCTCCCTGACCTGGCACTAAAGATCTCTGTCTAGCATTTTAATAATTATCCACAGGAAGGCCCATAAAAACCTGCTGACAAAAAGACAAAAAATAGTTTTTACTATGTTGGAATATGGTATCCAGGACTGGTGATCAGAATGCTGCCAGCATGGAAGCATTCCCACCCATCCAGTAGTACTGTCAGGAAAAATTATGGACTGAATTCTAAATGGCTGCTTAGCTAACTTCCTCTTCAAATCAGGAAACTGCCATCCCTTTTGCTGAGTGAGCTACAATTCCTAAGGGTCATGATCCATGGAATCCCTGTAGTCAGGTATGCCTCTTTACTGAAGTCATGAATCCACCTGGACAGAGAGTATTTGGATCTTTTATGATCTTTTTTGGAACTTTTGAACAATGTAAAAAGGGAGTCTGACCTTCTAAAGCCCTGAGTCCCATGAAAAGTATATTTCAGTTCTCTAACTATAGTCTTATAAACAAAAACTTTGATCAGAATTAAGGTTACTTAAGTGAAACACCTGCCAAAGCAAGGAAACTTCCATTTTAGGTAACCTTTATACATCTTGATATACACATAACACAATAAGCAAAAGCACTGACAGACTTTTCCTCTCCACAAAAAGATCCCCTTGTATTTCCAAAATATAAACAACCAGAATGCACTCACTGAGCTCCTGTTAATTGCACTCAAATGCAGCCACAAATCCAATCACTCTTAGCCCTGGTCTACACTAGGAGTTGAGGTTGAATTTAGCAGCGTTAAATCGATTTAACCCTGCACCCGTCCACATGACAAAGCTCTTTTTTTAACTTAAAGGGCTCTTAAAATCGATTTCTTTACTCCACCCCCGATAAGGGGATTAGCACTGAAATCGGCCTTGCCGGGTCGAATTTGGGGTAGTGTGGACGCAATTCGACAGTATTGGCCTCCGGGAGCTATCCCAGAGTGCTCCATTGTGACCGCTCTGGACAGCACTCTCAACTCAGATGGACTGGCAGGTAGACAGGAAAAGGCCCGCGAACTTTTGAATCTCATTTCCTTTTTGGCCCTCGTGGCAAGCTGCAGGTGAGTGCAGAGCTCATCAGCAGTGGTGACCATGATGGAGTCCCAGAATCGCAAAAGAGCTCGAGCATGGACCAAACGGGAGGTACGGGATCTGATCGCTGTATAGGGAGAGGAATCCGTGCTATCAGAACTCCATTCCAGTTTTCGAAATGCCAAAACATTTGTCAAAATCTCCCTGGGCATGAAGGACAGAGGTCATAACAGGGACCCGAAGCAGTGCCGTGTGAAACCTAAGGAGCTGAGGCAAGCCTACCAGAAAACCAGAGAGGCAAACGGCCACTCTGGGTCAGAGCCCCAAACATGCTGCTTCTATGATGAGCTGCATGGCATTTTAGGGGGTTCAGCCACCACTAGCCCAACTGTGTGCTTTGACTCCGTCAATGGAGAGGGAGGCAACATGGAAGCAGGTTTTGGGGACGAGGAAGGTGATGAGGAGGAGGTTGTAGATAGCTCACAGCAAGCAAACGGAGAAACTGGTTTTCCCGACAGCCAGGAACTGTTTCTCACCCTGGACCTGGAGCCAGTACCCCTGAACCCACCCAAGGCTGCCTCCCAGACCCGCCAGGTGGAGAAGGGACCTCTGGTGAGTGTACCTTTTTAAATCGTATACATGGTTTAAAAGCAAGCGTGTTTAATGATTAATTTGCCCTGGCATTCGCGGCCAGTACAGCTACTTCAAAAGTCTGTTAATGTATCTGGGGATGGAGCGGAAATCCTCCAGGGACATCTACATAAAGCTCTCTTGGATGTACTCCCAAAGCCTTTGCAAAAGGTTTCTGGGGAGGGCAGCCTTATTCCGTCCACCATGGTAGGACACTTTACCACACCAGGCCAGTAACATGTAGTTAGGAATCATTGCAGAACAAAGCATTACAGTGTATGTTTGCTGGCGTTCAAACAACATCCGTTCTTTATCTCTGTGTGTTATCCTCAGGAGAGTGATATCATTCATGGTCACCTGGTTGAAATAGGGTGCTTTTCTTAAGGGGACATTCAGAGGTGCCCGTTCCTGCTGGGCTATTTGCCTGTGGCTGAACAGAAATGTTAGACACATTTGCTATATCCATTTTGTACTGGTGTTTTAGGTAGAGCTGTAGAGATGCCCATAATTAAAGTTGCCTAACACCATGGAAAGCCCCTGTTTTTAGTTGATTATAACTACCAAACTTTAAGCATTAGGGTTGAAAAGATGTTTCCTTGTGTTTCAAGCACTGAAATGGATCCAGGAAAGTTGGATTCTATCCCAAGCTCTGCCATGTACTTTCTATATATTGGATATATTGGAATTGGAAAAGGTACAGAAAAGGGCAACAAAACTGGTGTGGAGAAAGTAAATAAGGAAGTGTTATTTACTCCATCTCATAACACAAGAACTAGGGGTCACCAAATGAAATTAATAGGCAGCAGGTTTAAAATAAACAAAAGGAAGTATTTCTTCACACAACACACAGTCAACCTGTGGAACTCTTTGCCAGAGGATGTTGTGAAGGTCGTGACTGTAACA